CACTTATAACTAATTCTTTTCCTTATCTGTGTCTTTCTTTAATCACAGTAACACCGCAAACAAAGATGGTGAGAAAGGTTCATTGGAGAAGGATTTACAAGCTACAAATTCATATAGCATTGCTGAAGAAGAAATGGAGATTAGTAAGGTTGGTTGTATGAGTGTTGGTCCTTGCGAAAATCTAACACCACAAAATCTTTTGAATGCGTTGGAGCCAGAAGAAGCTAGAGGCTCTTCCAAGAAAATGAATCAAGAATTTGTAAAAGAGAAGCCACAAGGAATGGCTGAGGACTCATCTTCTACATCTGAAACCAATGTTATGGTTTCTGAGAATGAACTGGACTCTACACCAATACTTTCAGTTGATCTTTCACTGGTAAGAATCATGAAAGAGTCGAATTCTAAACTTATGGAAGAGGAGAAACAGGAACAGGAGAAAGAAACAGTTCTCATGGCTGCGGCAAACAAGGACAAAGATATTGCTTCAACTGTTGTTCCCGAGGAAGATATCAAAACCAAGGAGGACATCCTTGTTTCCATTTCTAGATCAGAGCTGAAAGACCATAGCTTTGTATCTAAGTTAGCAGAAGGTATATACTCTTATTCATTTGGCTTGAGTTATTTTTTTTTTTTTTACTTTTATGGTTAATCTTCTCTAATCTATATATTCAGGTGATGAAGCAGTAGAGTCTCATGCTACTGTTTTCACAACTCCTGAACAAGTTCTATTGCTGGGGGATTCTGAGCTATATGGGGCCGAAAAGGAAGAGGATCATACAGCTACCAAAGTTCCTGACGAATCTGATGTTCTTAATGCCACCGAGAAGAAATGCTTCATGTTGGGAGGCTCCAGGAAAAACGAAGCTAGAAATGAAGGAGAAAGTACTGTTGTTAAACTTCCTGACGAGTCTAACATTACCACTAGTCCAGTGAGACAATTCAGTGTGGAAGACTTCAAAAGAGATGGAATCGAAAGGAATGAAGAAAACAGGACTGTTAACTTCTCATGTGAATTTGGTACTTGCACAAGCCCTGATAGACGCACAGTCTTGGGAAATCTTGTATCAGATGGAGCCGAAGACAGTGTTGGAATAAATAGAGCTGATAAGTCAGATCTTCTTACAAGCTTGGAGAAAAAACTATTTTATGGAGACCATGAACAAAAGGAAGCAGTCAAGACTGAAGAAAAAGCGGCTGCAGAGTTTCAACATGAGTCTGCTGCTGTTCCTAATACTCCTGAAAGACAATCCATTCTAGAAGACTCTCAACTGAATGAAGCTGCAAAGGTTGACTATGGCATTTTCACTAGCGCCGAGAAAAATTTACTGCTGGAAACAGATGAAGAAAGGTGACTATGTAATTGGTAAGTCTCATGTTGTGTCTGATGATTTCACTGCTGCGGAGAGCCAATCTGTTGTGGGAGACTCTGAACCAGATGGTGCTGAAAACATATGCAGGGAGAACACGGATGTGGAGTCGTTTGATATTGGTAAGTCTGGGTTAAGCCATAATGCTTCCTCTTCTAAAGTTGTTTTGAAGGAAAACACCATCATTTGTTCAAATGATGCCGGGAAAGAAGCTGCAGGTACAGAGTCTCAGGCAGAGCATGTTATTGGTCTAGATGCCATACAAGGGACGAAGCAAAGCAAAAGAGAGACAGTAGATCTTTTTGCTTTTGACATTCAAGAGAGAGAGACAATTCTGAGAAAATCAGTGAAATTTCCAGCCACCTCAAACTTTCTGGAACCTATTCCATGGTCTGGTAAGCAACTTTAGCAATCGTACTCGTACGCTTATCTCATTAGTTGAGTTCAAATGTTCATATCTCTTTTCTTCATCTTCGAAATGCAGGAGAATCTGGCCCTTCCACAGACATTAAGAACCATGAAAATGATGCGTTAAGAGGAATTGACAATGAAAGGTGATTAGCACATTAAAACACTATTGATTTTCTAGCATCACATACTTTGTTCCTACATGCATACACAAATCTCCAATCATTTGTAGGCAATAACGAAGCAGACAAGCTCATGGAAACTAAGGAATCAAAGAACACTCAAATAGGCTTTGAAGGAAATCTCCTGCTGGAGTCTTCTGGTAACTCTTTTGTTTCTGAGAAGACATGCATCGTAGCTGGTTTTGATTCTGAAGTAGATGATATAAACACATGTGAGAAAAGCGTTCGCAAATCTCTCGAAAATGAAGCAACTGGTCCACTTGCTACTGCCTTTGGTAAAATTCTTTTCTACATGTAAGCAGTTTTCCACAGAGATACACTCTTGACTAATTACTGCTTCCATTCTCACAGGAGAAGCCATCTCTCTGACTCCTGATGAATCCACAGTTCAGAATAACACTAACGAAGAAGGTTAAATTTCTTACAGATCTTGCGTCTCTTAGATTCAACAAAGATTAGCAAACTAGCTAAGACAGTGACTAATCTCTTAGAATCTTTTACCTTTTTTTTGACATAGCTGCAGATGAGCAAGTGATTAGGAGAGAAACTACACCAAGTCCTGAAGAAACCATGAATGAGTATCCGAACACTGATGAATCAGGTACGTTATCTGAGAAGCAAGTAAGAAGAGAACCACTCTTGATTTACCAAACACAAGTGAAGCCTAATAGAAATGACATGAAAGAGAATGCACCAAACTCAAAGATTGTGCATAATCTCAACATAACAGCTCCAAGGATCTCAAAGAGAAAGCCGCTCCAAGACTTGAAAAAGAACTAAGAAGACATGAATCTGCATATCTCATGCAGGTTTTGGGTTTTGTCTTTTGATTGCATTATGTATTTGAGAAACCTGTCTTGAATTAGCACTACTAAGTCTACACTGCCAGTGTGTTTTCAAATAATAAAAGACCATTTTGTTTTCTTCTTTTGCAAGATGATCATACATTTTATCACTGGCTTAGTTAATTACCTCAGAACACAAATCTTTTTTTTGTTTTTTTTGGTCAAGAACACAAATCTATTTCTTGCAAAGATTTTGATGATTATTGATTAAGTGCTTCTACTGAATCTTATGTTTCTACTGACATCTAGATTAAATGGTCTTAATCCAGCTCATTAGGCCCTAAGCAAATCCATTTTGATTTATGCATACGAAGAAGATAGTAAATGTTCAACTATATCATCATATCCCACTTGTAACGCAGATTTAATTACACTAATAATAGCCCCACTACGCCACTAAGCACTCATTATCTCACTAGAGGTGTAGTAATGAGATTCTCTCGTAATTACTCTAAGGCCTTTCACTCTACCATTTACTTGTAACAGTCAAGCTCCAAGTGTCTCTATATAAACTCTCTAAGGTTATCACTCACTTCTCAT